ACTAATATTAATTAAACAATATGATTTCTCCTTTAATATATTATTCTTATAATATATTAATAAATCATATATATATCCTGCTAAAGTAAGTTTTCCCATCTAGCATAGAGTTCACAGACAACTTGACTGTTGACCCTGGATTAGACCTTTAATAAAGGGAAGGGGATGGAAGGAGAGGGAGGAGAATGAAAGGAAAAGACAAATGATTAATCCGTTCTCGAGTTGGAGGGGAATGGAATGGAAAGGTGGGATATAAGCTTTTTTTTTTCTCCTCCTAACCCTCCCAAAAGTGGGCCGGTAAAAAATACACATGTGTTGCTTCCCCTCCCATTCCATATCTTAAAAAAAATTCAAGAACATATTTCCCCTCTAAACTACTTCGCTTCCTTTCCATTTCACTTCCTAAATAAACTCGAGAACAAGGTGTTAAAGGTAGTCTTTTAAACCCGAACATGGATCAAATCCGAAAAAAAAAAATACAAGGATGGTCCGAGTTAGAAAAATAAAAGTTAGGGACTAAGTATACGCGCAATTTTGATACGAATTGAAAGAATAGGGACACAAGATAAAAGATTGTCCTAAACCTTAGGACCATTCTGTAATTTATCCTAATACAACATGAGCTTAAGTGTACTAAAAAACAAAGCATGTCAATGAAGTCAAACATATGATTGAGATATTTGGTGCGTCGTATTTTCTCCCTGTTCTACTAGTATTTTGGTCAAGTTTTGTGGTTGAAGTATCAAACAGCCACCATGTGTGGAAATTCTGAAAAAATCATTAAACACACACTATGGTCATTCAAAAATATTTGGTCATCAAATCTTAACGTTGAAAAGTCAAAAGAGCCACCATGTGTGGATATTGAGAAGTCATTATATATTTATATGTTATTATGTTAGGTACAATTTTTTTGTTGTCCTAGGAAAAAGAAACATTTTATTTAGATTTACGCCCAAATTTATCTATTTACATGTTTGAAATGGTTATAAGATACTTGTAAAAATCAACTGTTCTTCATAAGTTTATTTAATAAGTCAAAAGCTCTTATCAAAACACGTAAAGTTAAATTCTTTATTAATTTCTAAACGAATTAAACATATTTAACTAACATATTAGAAGTATTATAATATTATTGAAATTTGGAAATCTTTTTCTAACACATACAACTTGGACTGGCAACCCAAATTTTCAAACTTGTTAGTCAATAAAACGTATCCATTTCTTCAATTCTTTTATCTATAAATATCACCCCAAAGGTTTTCCATTTTTGAACATAAACCACAACCAAACATTACTCGCTCCCCTAATCTCATTATACAAAGATTTTCAGATGGCTATAGCTATTAAGTGCCAAAATCTTATAACCCTTCTCGTGTTACTAAACTTGGCATTCTTGATGAATGCTCGACCTTTAAGTATTATAAATACTGTTAATTGTCCAGATGAAAATGATCAGTTGTTTGATCGGTTTTCTTTGGGTTCCATTAAAGAAGGACCAAGTCCTGGCATAGGGCACAAGGTCGAAGATAAGGCAATTCTTGGAGGAATCAAGGTCGGACCTAGTATTGGAGCAAAAGACAGATATACACATGAACCTAGCCATAGAATTGAAAATGTGTTCAACATTGAGACCTTGGTTGGAGTCAAAGATGGACCAAGTCCAGGAATTGGACACAAGGTTGTAAATGTTGAGTCGCTTGGAAATCTTAAGAACTCTGGTCCAAGCCCTGGTGCGGGTCACTAGTGCAACTGACTGTTTAGAAACATTTATGATTTTTTTATACAAACAACAAATATACATTTTCTTTTTAATACGGTCAAAATACACACTATAGATAGCAAGCCTCAATTCATAGTCATTGATTAAAGAAACCCTATAGTTAGTATCAATAGAGTTGAAAGAATTTATTTCAATCATTGTATTAGAAAATTTTATTTGTTCAATTGTGGTACTTTAAGTTTATTGTGTGATAATTCCAATATTAATTAGTACTTCTTCGTTCTCCTACAAATTGTAGTACCATTTATGTAAAATTATATGAATTGTTAAAATTTATGGAATTGGGTTAAAGTTCACTCTTTTAATATAACTCTATTGATTTTCTCTTTCACGACCTTTGCCTATACTAAGCTAAGACATGTTCGTCATTCATTTTCTCTTTCACTCGCATCGAACACTCTTGATTTCTCTGTCTCTCGCATACATGTCTTAGTTTCATTCCTACTATCATGCAATTTAATTTCCGAATGTTAGCAAAACTGGACCGAATCGAGCCAAAACCGAAAAATCAAGAACTGAATTTATGGATATAGAGAAACCGAATTACATATCCAGTTCCTAATCGGGTTTGATTTGGTTCGATTCATGGTCTCGTCTTATAATATCTAAGGAGCTAAAAAAAAATCTTTTATACAAATTAAACCGCCTCAATTCCCTGACAATCACACCAAAAAATCGATTCAATTCGGTTTGTTCCAACGAGTATTTTGCTCATCTCTAATTAAAAACTTTTGTTAAATAAATCTACAAGCTCCAACTTCCAAAAAAAAATTAATTCAGTATTTTTTTTTAAATAAAAGTTAAAAACTTTTAAAATTGGGCACCTATATCATAAGTCATAACATAACTAATTTAATCTTATGAAACTTAAAAATGTTACACATTTAAATTTCGGAAGTTACCACAAAATTTCAGTATACTTCAAAGACTATTAACGATTTTAAATTATTCCACTTCAAAAAAAAAAAAAAAAATGCACCATAAATAACATCATATACATAATTGAATAAAGTCTTTAAAATTAAATTTTTTGATAACATAAAGTTACAAAAGCTGCAGAACAAACTAATATTAAACAGAACACTCAACGCCCGACGACCACAAAACACTCAAAAAAAGAGCGGGCGAAAGCCAAGCCTTCGATCCAAAACTCCCAAAAACCTTCACAAATCATGGGGAGTTCCAAGGACGATTCCGCCACCGACGGCGACAAATCCACCGGTAATCGCCGCCGTCCCGAATCCAATTCCAACCTCTTCTCCGACGGAGAGAAAGTCCTCGCTTTTCACGGCCCTCGTATATACGAAGCTAAGGCATGTTCTTATTCATTTTCTCCTTCACTCTCATCGAATACTCTTGATTTCTCTATCTCTCTCGCATAAACAGCCATTTTTGGTTTTACTATCATTCAAATTGCAATTTTAAGTCTGGATCTTAAATGTCAGATAATTTGGGGGTAATATGGAGGAAAAATAAAACATGAATATTTTATTTTTTGGATAAACCGATTTTGTGTGTTTACTTTACTCTCACATTACTGAATTCAATACTAGGGCTCACAATTCAGAAACGCAAAATAGAAAATAAAAAAAAAAGTTGTTTTTGGATAAATCAGATTGATTAGGTTTTCGTTAGGTGTGTTTACTCTCACATTAGCAAACCAAATACTAGGGTTCCCAATTTGAAATACAAAATAGACAAAAAGAAAAAAAAGGAGCTACTCTCTGTGTTCTACCCTTTGTTTGATGCCATAACTGCTTACATTTAGTACCACAACCATTCTGTTAATGTTTTCTTCTTTCATCTTGAAGGTTCAAAAGGCTGAGATACGAAAGAATGAATGGAAATACTTTGTGCATTACCTTGTAAGTTTGATACAATCTTTTTAGATCAACTTGTTTTCATATTACCACATTAAGTAATGAAATAATGAATCACTTTCTTTCTGTTTTCAGGGTTGGAATAAAAAGTGAGTAAGCTTTTCCATATCTATATTATTTTGAATATTGTGTATAAACTATAAAGTTTGTCTTTTTAACATTCATAAAGCTCCAATATCTTGATTACAGTTGGGATGAATGGGTTGGAGTTGACAGATTAATGAAGTACACAGAAGAAAACATTTTAAAGCAACAAGCACTTGACAAAAAACAAGGTGTTGACAAAAACTCAAAAGGAAGATCAACTCAAACTAAACCCAAAATATCAAATGGTAAGTAATTTGACTATTTTACCCCCTTCTTAACAATCTATTTTTATATGCTCTGAATAACAATGAAAAAAATTATGTGTTTTTTGGATCTTTCAGATGTAAAGGTGGAAAAAGAAGATGTGAAGAGTAGTGGTATATTACTATATTTATATTTATATTTATATCTATATCTATATTTATATTTATATTCTTTGAACTCAAATAAATAATTTATTTTTACATATATTGAGAAATTTTAACTATCTATTTCTGTGTTACTTACTCAGGGGCAAAAGGGAAAAAGAGGAAGAGTGATTCGAGTATAGAGGTATGTTTATGTTTATGTTCAAATATCTGATATTAGATTTATAAAATTTTTGTTCCCAAAATAACCCTATGCTTATGGTGTTAGAAAGAGAATGCATCTGTTGAAAAGCCTGTAAAGATTCAAATTCCATCAGCTCTAAAAAAACAACTTGTGGATGATTGGGAATTTGTTAATCATCAAGATAAGGTATTAATTAAACTATTAATTAATATTATTATTATTTTGCTTTTTACAAATTGTTGAGTTATTATTATTTTTTTTTTTAGCTTGTTAAACTTCCACGTTCTCCAAATGTTGATGACATTTTGGCAAAGTATCTTGAATACAGGTCAAAGAAAGATGGGATGTAAGTCAACAAGTGTTTATTTTTAATTTTTTTTAATCCTATGAAAATATTATATTTCTAAATTCTAAATTCTAAAAATGAAAATATTAATTAATTTTTATGAATTCAGGATGACAGATGCAGTTGGAGAGATTTTGAAAGGATTAAGATGTTATTTTGATAGAGCTTTACCAGTTATTCTATTATATAATAAAGAACGCAAACAATTTCAAGAATTAATTACAGATAATAATAATATTTCTCCTTCAACAATTTATGGAGCTGAACATCTCCTACGTCTTTTTGGTATTATTTTTTTTAATATATATATATATATTTTAATATTCCTTTTTATTATGTTTCTTTATTTTTATTTTTCTTTTTGTTTTTTCAGTTAAATTGCCAGAGTTATTGCCATACGTGAACATAGAAGAGGATCTTGCCATGCGTTTGCAACAAAAATTTCTCGACTTTCTCAAGTAAATCTTTTATTATTATTATTATTATTATTTTTTAATTTTTTTTTAGTAAATTACATGAATGGTCCCTATGGTTTGGGGTAATTTGCACATTTGGTCCCTAACTTTTTTTTGTAACTTGGAAGGTCTCTACTGTTTGTTTTTGTTGTGTGCTTGGTCTCTGTCTTACCTAAAAAGACTTATTTGCCCTTGATTTTTTAATTTATTTAATTAAAGTGGGGTAGGTAAGGTAAGGCAATGCGAGATAAAAGTGAGGTTAGGGGTGTGTTTATTTAAATAAATTAAAAAATCAATGGCAAAATAGTCTTTTTAGGTCAGACAGGACCAAGCGCACAATAAAAAGAAACAGTAGGGACCTTCCGAGTTAAAAAAATAAGTTAGGACCAAACGTGAAAATTACCCCAAACCATAGGGACAATTCGTGTATTTTACTCTTGTTTATTATAAAAAAATTCCATTTTCAAAAAACTGAGACTATTTTTATATTTAATGTTGTGGTGTTGTAGGTTTATGCAAAAGAATCAAAGCTCTTTCTTTATTTCTTCGTATGATGGGATGAAGGTTTCTGACAGGGGCAAAATGGTCCAAGAGTAAAACATTAGTTGTTGCCATTTTTAACAAAAATATTTCGGTGTTGTAACATAATCTCAATTCTTTTTTTATTAGTTGACAAATTTGTATAAATCAAGATTCAAGAATCAATCTTGGTTCAAATAGCTAAAGTGTTGTAGAATTAGCATTTTCTCATCTAGTAGTGTCCCAAATGTGTAGAACATTTCTGATTTTTATAACTTGAAAATTGCTAAAATTTGTGGTTGTTTTATTGGCTCTTTTCTTGCAATATATTTGAAAATTGCTAATTCATAAAAAATAATGTTTGGTAAAAATTGATTGAAATATATAAAATGACATTTAGGATAATGAATATAATTGTTTAAGCCATAAAAAAACCTGCCTTGATGTATTAAGACATTAAGACTTCCAACCTTTTTCCTCTTAGCTTCTTTTTATGTTAAAATTAATAAATATTATGAAATTTGTTTTTTCTAGAATGGAAGGTTAAAATGGTGGTTTATGGTTGTTTTTTGATAGTTGCTAATTGAGTTGAGGTTTGGGTTAGAACTATGGGGTGTTTGGGAGTGTTTTTTGAACTTTAAAAGTATTTTTAGATAAAAATGTTTATTGACTTGTAGTGGTTGTAAAAAGAGTTTTTTTAAAAGTGTTTGTATTAACTTTTATGGTGAAAAAGCCAATAAGTCAATAAGTTAAAAAGTGTTTGGCTTAAAAAGTACTTTTTAAAGTTATTTTGGTTAAAAAACCAAAATCAGTTTCAAAAAGCCAAGTTTTATATGTTTTTTAAAAAATGTTTTTCAAAGCTAATGGAAAAGCTATTTTGAAAAGTGCTTCTGAGTTTGCCAAACACTTTTTTTAGACTTATTAGCTTTTCAAAAAGCCAATAAGTCAATAAGCTGTTTTGAAAAGCAATCCCAAACACCCCACTAGTTTTCTATCAAACATGGATATAAGAGGCTATAGGGCCGAATTAGGGATTTCGTATAAAAAATAGTTTGAATCTGTCCGAGTCACATCCAACTCATACCAAATTCGGTAAGAGGCATATCAAACAGTCCTCTAATCTCATTCTTACTGTTATTCTGTCAAAAATCGAATCGAACCTTATATATACAATACTTTATTCAATCCAGGTAGACATCAAATGCCATACTACATTATGCATAATGAAAAAAAAAATTGAAACTATAAATAATAATAATAAAATTGAAACTATAAATATTATAATATGAAAGCATTTTCGAACAATTGAAGATATACAAAATGAAAGTAGAGTGCCATAATATGCAAATAAATAAATAAACAAAAGTACATTGCTAATTTTTATTTAGACAAAATTTCATAATTGGTCCCTGTGGTTTACAAAATATCGCACTTTGAGGACTTCCTAGCAAAAAGTCACGCCACTGATCCTTATGGTTTCAGTTCATTATGTGATTGGTCCTTAACCCTAACCCCGTCACTTTTGTACCGTTAGTGCAGGGGTATTTTTGTCTTTTCATTTATCATCATTTCAGATTAAAAAATTAAAATAAAATAAATAGCCAACCCAACCTCTCCTGGTCCCCATCCTTTTCTCTACCAGGTTCGTCTCCCTCAATCTGACCCAACCCTCATCCTCTCAATCACAGATTCCGGTGAGGGTTGGTAGTGGTGCTCCGTTATAATCACAATCTCCGGTGGAACCAGGTGAACATTATCGGTGATCACCACTGAACCCATCCCACCCGTTTCCTCCCCAGACGACACCCTAAAAATCGAAACCCAAGAATCGCAGGAGAAGAAAGAGATTACGAACGATGCTTCTTTGGAACCTACAAATCAGAACCTGCAAATCGAACCTAACTTTGTTACCCTTCTTCATCTCTCTCTCTCTCTCTCTCTCGTAGATCGATCGATATTTCATCTCCTTTAACAGCTTCAAGAACCCTAACCCTAGTTCTATCACACAAGTCATTGTAGTTGGGTGAAGAAATCATCATCAGCAACAACACATACCCCTGTTGCTGATCATAAATCAACGACATCAGAAGTTGTAATGGGGGTTGAATTAGCTGATGTTCCAAAAGTTAAGACGGAGATGTCGGGTCTGGTGAAGTATTAGATCCTAATTCTGCTAAAATTCACGGTGATTAAGTTACAACTCTTGCTTTTTCTCCCGAGTATAAATAAAGATTTGGAGATTAGGGTAAGAAATCGATGAATCTAGCTTGGTGGTGATGATGGTGGTGTATGTGTCGGTGGATATATTGGTGGTTTTGGTATAGTTTTGGGATATAACTTTGGTGATGAAGGATTACAGTGAGTAATAAATGAAAAGACAAAAATACCCTTGCACTAACGGTACAAAAGTGACGGGGTTAGGGTCAAGGACCAATAGCGCAATGAACTGAAACCATAAGGATCAGTGGCGTGACTTTTTGCTAGGAAGTCCTCAAAGTGCGATATTCTATAAACCATAGGGACCAATTGTGAAATTTTGTCTTTTATTTATTATTTATTTATTTATTTATTTATTGTGCATATAGCTCTAAACATTTACCACTCACTCAAGGTCACTCCCAGCCACATCAAGCACAAACCTGTACCTCACATCATTCTTTACCATTCTCTCAAATGCTCTGTTAATATAATCCATCTTCACTACTTCGATCATCGTCTTCAGACCTTTCTCAACCCAAAAATCCAGAATCTCTTGTGTCTCTTCAATGCTTCCGATGAAGCTCCCACTAATCGTTTTCTTTCCTGTAAAAATTCTCAAAATCAGATCAAAATTCAGGCACAATTTGATGGGCGACTTTGATTTTGTTACGTACCTAAGATCAAACCAGATGCACCGAACTGCAATGGCTCAGGAGCAGCTCCGACGATGAATATCTTACCTTCGACTTTCAGAAGTGGAAGGTAAGTTTGTAATTGGTGAGAAACGGGTATGGTGTCGAGTATATAATCAAGGCTGTTCAACGATTTCTCCATTTCGTCATGATTCGAGCTAACTAAGAAACAATCGGCGCCTAAATCGGTTAACGCCTCGTGTTTCTTTTTATCGGAAGAGCTTATCACTGTCACATGGTGGCCCATCGCCTTCGCGATTAAAACCCCTAGATGTCCGACTCCTCCCAGCCCTAAAATTCCTGCTCTGATAACCTCGTCGGAGTTGATGAACTGTTTCAACGGACTGAACGCCGTTACTCCGGCACATAGCAGCGGCGCTGCCTGCTCCGGAGCTAGGTTTTCCGGTATGTTGACTACGTAGCTGCAATTTCATTCAATTTTGACTTTTTAGTACGTAACTGAAAGCGTCGGGTCGGGGGAGATGGATTTTGATTTTGCTTACTTTTGATGGACGACCATGGCGGAGGAGAATCCTCCTTGAGTAAAGCTTCCGTCGTTGTTAATGGCATTGTAAGTGAACACCATTTTGCTGCAATATTGTTCTTTGTTGGTTTTACAACACCAACATTCACCACAAGATCCCACAATACATCCGACTCCAACAATGTCGCCTATGTTGAATTTCTTCACTTCTGATCCCACCTCCATAACTTCTCCGACCACTTCATGTCTGCAATTCAAGAACAACATGAACAATTGAATACCACTTGCATTTGTACAACAATTTATGCACGGATTACAACCGGGGAAAGACTGAAACGTACCCTGCAACTAAAGGGTAGGTAGCGGAGTGAATTTCGTTCTTCAATTGATGAAGATCACTGTGATCAACTCCACAATACAACACCTTGAACAATACATCTTCTGGACCTGTTTTCCTGCATATTTGAAACAATAATCACTGTTTTCAAGATCAAAATACAAAAACAGTATTTATTGTTTATAAGTAGTGACATTGACATACCGGAGATGAAAAGAGTAAGGAGAAAGAATGGCAGATGAGTCTCTAGCAGCCCAACCGGTAACTTTTCTTCCCTCCATAATCTTAAAAGTTTCTGTTTTTAGTAAGAATTAATATCTGTTTGTTGCTAATTTTAATATTGTGTATGTGTATATATATGCACATACAAATCGTTGAAGTATTTGATTTTGTTTCTTAATTAGGTGCATGAATATGATTAAAAAATTGTTTGATTATTGATCATGTATCTATATAAAATGAATTCTTGTGGGTTGTGGAATTGTCATTGATGACGTTAAATTTCAATCCAAAATAGTTTAAAGCAAAACACTTTCCTCTTATAGATTAATATTAGATTATGACCCGCATTAAACGTGGAGAACATAAATTAAATACATATCATATTAACAGGTGACATTTTAATAAAAGAATGTTAGTTAGATTCATTTTTAGAGTTTTTGAACCAAACTTATTAAATAAAAATATTTAATATGTATATTAGAGGAGTTTGGTTTTTTAATACAGTAAATTTTAACATAAATGATCCAAGTGATATTTGTTTTATTACAACATGATGCAACTCCTTGATTAAAACATGTAATGTAGTAGCTTTATGAATTGACTTTGTTTGGTGTACCAACCCTTATGGAGGCTCATATGGCTCTTTTCGTATTGGCACTATAAAACCAAAAGCAACAATAAGTTGGTATATGTACTAACAATGTTACATTCTGTAAAGAAATTCGATAAACATTACAATTAAAGTGCATTGCCATAACCATAAACATCAAATTCGGACATTGTAATTTGGTCAATTTTTAAAGTATTTTTACCTTATAAGAGTTAAAATATGATTTTTCAGGCTACACCCAATCACATATACATATCTTCCGATCAAAGAAATTATTACAATAAAAACATGTTATGAACAAAAATATAATATTACTTTCATAATTTGCCAAAGGTTAACACTAATAAATAATAATGAACTTTTATAAATCTTGCATTTTGGTCATTGTATCCAACTAACAAATGAAATTCAGTTTAGATGATTGATTTAAGAAGTGTATCCATGACTTAGTGTAGCTAAATTTGGGGAAATGCACAGACCTACTGAGATATGAGGAACGGTTTGTGAGGCTACGGTTGGTTTTTGGAGGGCAATACAAATTCAAATCGTTAGCACATACCTTTCCTATCTGTTTCAATTATCAAATTTAGATCAAACTTGTCAAAATCAAATTACAAAAAAAACTCAGATATGTAACCTAGCAATCAAACAAAATATTTTTCATAGAAATAAATATAACAAATATACAATTTACACTTTATATAATATTC